AGGAAGTAATAAGATATTGTATTGTCTACTAAAATTAATTATTATATAACTAATTCCTTTTTAAATAGGAGTTGATTGATGTCTTTCTACTAATATTTTTTTACAGTAAATCTTTGTCAATTATTATTAATTTTTTTTTGAAAATTATGAAACGATTTCGATTATAATATTTTTTTTTAAATTAACCAGGCACCAGTTTAGTTTTTTATGGTATATTTTTTATCAATGTATAGAAATGTTATTTATAATAATAATACAATGGGTGGCCACTCAGCTCTGAGTGAATACAGCGACAATATATATGTGATCAAGAGTAAAGAGAATGTTTTATTTTTAACAAGTTAAAAATAAAACATTCTTAAAAACAAAGTTAAAAAGATATTTGCTGCCTTTTTTTCCATTATTACCGTTTTGAAGAAACGTCTAATCTGTCTTCATTTCTTTAATTTAGAATCTGATTGGTCTTATAAATTTGATTGGAAAAATATTTGTTTATTTTCAATCGACTCCTAAAAGAAGAAGCTTCTTAATTTGTTTTTTTTTTAGATGTTTGTTACCTTATAACTCTGTCAAATGTAAACCGATTTGGATTTTTTTTTTTATCTGAATTAATATACTTACAAATTAATCCCATGGAAATTTTATCAAAAAATTCTATGGAATTAACAGTTTGAAAATTAAAAATAACTGGTTTTATCACATTTGAAGTCGTTTTTTTGGGACATAATCTTTATATTATTCATAGTTTTACTTTATTCCACGTGATTAAAGTCGTGGTAATATCTAATCTTGATTTCTTACTTGCTACCTCAGACATTTGAAGGTCTAGGTTCAGTCTAATGGAAAGACTAGGCACACAGATATATCTCGAACAATGTAGGATTTCCGATCGGTTGCTCTTGATAACAGACAGACTGAATAATGAATTAAGGGCACATTAATGAGTTATTACTATTTATTATTAGAGGAAGTCACGTTACGGAACTATCTTATATTCTAAATATAACACTGATTTGAACTTTACTGGTATAATGTTATAATTATTTTAATGAATAAATAAATAAACAACTACAGGTATTTTAATCTATTTATCTTCACGGCAGGTCAATTGTGGGGTAGCCAAGAGCTATAAACTATTATAGCTATAATATTTGAATTCGTCATTCAGTCCATTTTGTGATGACCATGATGCTGTACATGTTTATAGGCGACGGTTACCAACATTCATCAGGTGGTATGTCAGTCATTCTGTTTCATGAATAAAAAATAGTGTTTATTAATTTATTATTTACTAGCGGCCCGTCCCGGCGTCGCACGGGTGGACATTTTTACATTTTAAAAAGTGGCCATTAAGGCTGCACACGCGACGGAAGCTTAAAAATGGAGTAACTTCTCCCGTTTTCCCAACATTTCCCTTCACCGCTTTGCTCGTATTGATCGTAGCGTGAAGTATACTATAACCTGCCCAGGAGTATGAAGAATAATTGTACCCAGTTTAGTTAAAATCCGTCGAGTAGTTTTTGTTTCTATAACGAACATACAGACAGATAGACAAAAATTTTACTGATTGCATTTTTGGCATCAGTATCGATCACTAATCACCCGCTGATAGTTATTTTGGAAATATATTTCATGTACAGAATTGACCTCTCTACAGATTTATTATAAGTACAGATTACTGTATCAGCTGTTAATTGTCCAATGCTGAAATTAGGCTTTCCCAATAATGAAAGTTTTGTTAGTAGTTGCTACGTTTGGCAGGTGTGCAAACTGCAGTTAGGCTTTGGTGATGTTTTAAAAGACATCGCTGACCATCCCTCGGTCATGTTTTATTGTTTATTTATATTTTATTAAATTTAAATTCAAAATATCTTTATTCATGTAGCTCTATTACAGACTCTTATGAAATGTCAAATCTACCGTCAGTTCGGAATGATTTCGAGATGAGAAGAACTGACAAGAAACTCCACTCGTATTCTTGTAAAGTAAGCTGTAAAGAGTTGTAAAGAAAAATGAATAACTAAAAAAATTTTCTAACAAACAATTCAGGCGTTCAAATATACGAGTATATTTGATCAGGTAAATACGAATGAGACCTTCATGGTTTTTGTTATATAGAGGAATTTCGGTGGAATATTGACTTTCATCACCTACTTCATCTCACACTTAGGTGCTGGTTCAGGGCTCCCGTAATTCATGTTATCGTTGTCTATTTTTCCTCGATTTATGTGTATGCATATAAAAACAATAATAATAATAAATTATAACCTAAACGCACCCCAAATAACCGAAGATTGTTAATATTTTTAATCACTGCCGTGGAGGTCGATGGTTGTTCCCGCGTAAAAGTTGACACACAGGCGTTGTTGCACGGCACTCACACCAGAGGGCAGGCGTCTCCATATATCCCCGTAATAACTAATTTACAGGGACAATATATATTTATATGTGTGTGTGTGTGTGTGTGTTGTAGAATTGTGAAAGTGTGGTGCCGCGAAGTAAAAATATTGCAGATAAATTAAACAGTTTTAATGAATGAATTTACATAATAACGTTTATGTATTACGGTTATATACACGTGTTAAAGTTTAGTTTCTAATTTAAAAATAGAAATCATACGTGTAACAGTGGTACCATAAAATAGTGAATCTTTTTTTTAACTCACATACGTTAAGAGCTCTACGAATAGTTCTAGTATCTGCGTAAGAGTTACTGTTGAGTTCATTGGACAGGACAATGGGATGGACGTGAGTGTTTTTTTTTTTATTGTAATGTACAATACGAAACAATAGGGGGAAAGGGATTGTTAGTAATGGAGATTGAGAATCCCATTGTTAGCAATATACCCAACCAGGTCGACCTCCTCGCGGTTCTCCCTGGAAACTATCGTGATTAATTCCTGATGAATTCATCATGATGGGCTAACTGGCCTGTTTTCATTCTCATCTATCACCCTTCACTGGTGCTCCGCCAGCGTATCCCGTTAGCGCAGGCGGGGTTACCATACCATTTTCACCCATCAAAAAAAAAATACCAAACAATAATATTGCTCATTAGGTGGTTCGTATATGTTTACGCTTCCTAATCTATGTCACACGACAGGACTACACGGGTATGACAGTTTACGTGGCTCTCTAGCCATTGTTTTTTTGCTTGTCAATTTATTATTTTTTCTTATTTTGGTTCGAGTAGCCATCATTAATTATTTTCTAGCATTGTCATGTCTACATTAGTAAATAAAACTAACAGTTTTACCATCTTTATTTCACAAATAAATGATTCCAAATTGATCATTATGCTTGTTGAAAGTAATTAACTGACAAAGTCTAACCACTTTTTAAAATGTTGTAAAAATGTCCACACGTGCGAAGTCGGGACGGGTCGCTAGTAAATACATAAAATATTACTATAATAAATAATAAACTGTATTAGAAGGGTAAATAAAACATAGGACTCAGATAGAGTAACTAGCAAGTTGACATTTTTTTTTGTATTTTCGGAAATTTTTGGATGGGTGGATGGATGGTTACTTAACAATTAGACGAAGACTGTATCAAAAGTACAGGAGACTTTATCTTGATGTTGTTTTTGTTACCAAGCTGTTATATGCCTGTTTTTCGGTGTGAAAAAAAGAGTTTTTGATGGGTGATAATGGAATAGTAACCCCGTCTGCACTATCGGTATACGCTGGCGGGGCACCAGTACGACGATAGGCGATACCAGATAGGCGACGACGAAAGCAGGTCAGTTAGCCCATCGTGACGAATTCCACTAGAATTAGCCACGATGGTTTCCAGGGGTAACCGCATGGAGGTCGATCTGATAGGCTGTATTGTTAGCAATGGATCAGTTAGATCCCTAATTATTAACATACCCTTTCCCCCTGAAAAACGGGTTGTAGCAGTGAGATTATGAGGTCCTCAGGGACGGTAAGGCCTGGGGAGTATTCTGAAAGTCACAGTATATACTGTGATGTCTTTAATGCAGTTTATGTATATAGTTGACGCATTTAAAATGGGGTAAGGGATTGTCAGAAATGCGGATTACCAATCCCATTGCTAGAAATATACCCTGTGAGGTAGTTCTCCACGTCGTTCTTTCTGGTAACCATCGCGCTGAATTCCAGGTGTATCTATCACGAGGGGCTAATTGACCTGCTTTCATCCTCACCTATCATCTATCACTGGTGCCCCGCCAGTGTATACCGATAGCGTAGGCGGGGTTAGCAATTCTTTATCATCCTTTATATTCTTTTTCTTACATGTATGTCATAATGACATATAGAGCTTGGTATTTTGTATAGTTTTAAATTGAATTATGTTAGTAAATAAAGCAAGACATGTAATATTTTTTGTGTAACAAAAACATAACTATTTATTATAATAGTGTAAGTTTTTGAGGTTCATTAACAAAGGCATATTAAGGTTTCTTTAGAGTCAGCGACGAGCACGTGATATCCCTAGTATTGCAGGCGTTCATAGGCTACAGTGAGTCACTGTCAGTGACCGTTTACCATTAGATGGGCTGTAAGTACATAAATTTGAAAAATGAAAAAAGTTGGTACACGAATAGGTTCTCTGAACTTTATATATTGACTAGACTTTTACCCGCGGCTTCGTCCGTGTAAACGGAATATGTTTATTGGCTGGGATAAAAATTAACCTATATCCTTTTCCATACTATCTAGTATAGTGTACCTATACAAAATTTCATCGAGATTGGTTGAGCCGTAAAGGCTCCAAGAGGTAACAAACAAATTCACATTCACAATATTTATAAGGAAGATACAGCTAGTCTTAAATAAATTAAAGTATACTAAAAATAATGGAATTTAAATAAACTAATACCTTATAGTAATAATGATAAGATCGCTGGGGAATTATGTTTACATTGTCAGTCATTTCTATGCCAGCGTATAACTTTACGATGCTGTGATCATAAAATGTTATCTGTACTTGAATTTTGTATGAAGAGCATTCATATGTTCAGCTCGATGCAGTGTGGCAACGTCGTAGTTAATTATTTGTCAATTTGCAAAAATCTTATATATAAAATTCTCGTGTCACGGTGTTTGTTACCAAACTCCTCCGAAACGGCTTTACCGATTTTTATGAAATTTTGTGTGAGGTCAGGTCAGGTAGACCTCCACGCGGTTCCCCCTGGTAACCATCGTGGTTACTTCTAGTGGAATTTGTCACGATGGGCTAACTGACCTGCCTTTTCGTCCTCACCTGTCATCCCTCACTGGTGCCCCGCCAGCATATCCCGATAGCGCAGACAGGGTTACCATTCCATTATCACCTATTAAAAAAACCATTTTGGTTGCGTAATTTCTAATTAGGTATAACTTTATCTTTTTATAATTCCTTTTTTTTATTTTATAATTGTTTATGTTATAGTTAAAAATGTTATTGATATGAGCCAAATAAATATTTTCTTTCTTTCTTTTAAAATTATTATAACTTTTTGCATATTGACAGTTACTTGCGACGTTGCCACACTTGTTCAAGCTGAAGTTGTGAACATTCTTGTTAATTCATTTTGTTCAGTATAATCTTCACTACGTTAATACGCACACATCTCCATTTTATTAATTCAATGCGTGTGGCCATATACAGACGCGGTGCTTTGTTTGTGTTAGTGAGGAAACGTTTTCAGCAGCGGTTCGATTAAAAAGTAGTATAATACTTTTTAATCGAACCTTGGTCGAAACCTTGTAAATGTTTTTAGTCACATATCTGATTCTTTGGATTTTGGAGGGGCGTGCAATGTTATCGTGGTAGACAATCTACAGAGATACATGTAATATGTGAATTTAGTACAATGAACGTTGATACGGTAACGAAACCTCGATGTGATAGTGAAGAGACCGACGCCAAGTCCTACGGATACGATGAAGCGGTTGAATTAACTGGTAAATCAATGAAACTTGTAACTTCTCACCAGAGGGAGACCTTGTACTAAAGTCGTTTGTTTGGGCACCTCTGTTCCATTCGTGTTTCTACCGTGAAGTAGTTGTGTTTGCATGGCTGTTTCGGTTTGAAGGGTGGGATATGGCAGTGAATTTATAGGGTAGAGAGGAATAACACCTGAGTCCTCAGGAATGGCAACGTATTAGGGGGTAACGTGGGCACTTTCCGTCAGGTGGGACGTCAGCTTGTTTACCATTCTGAGTTGCGTAAAAAAAATGTAATATAATGTGTTATATATTATACGTACGTATGTATGTTATTATAATAATGTGAGGTTATAGGGCCGATTCTGATGCGCCATTTCTCTATATCTGTCTCTTAATTATTTTAATTTGATAGAAATCACGAAATAATTGTTTTATAAACCACCATAAACTAAAATTATAATAGTGTTCATATATATCTATTAAAAAAACAGTTCATATCGGTCATTAATATAAATAATTGGTTTAATTTAAATAAAAATAAAATTTTAAAATTTAAAATAAAAAAAAAAATTAAAGCTATTTTTAATTAAAAATTATATTTTAATTTAATTTTTTTTAAGTTCTGATTTAAATTTTTTTAATGAATAATTGGTCTTTAAAATGACACCTCAGACTCGATCCTAATGAGTGTGTAAATAATTAAAACATATATAAAGCAAATAAAACATTTAATATAACCTATATAATACTCCGCTATAATATAATACTATTTTTTTTTGTTGGATGAAATGGATTGGTAACTCCGCGCTAACGGGATGCGCTGGCGGAGCACCAGTGAAGGGTGATCGATGAGAATGAAAACAAGCCAGTTAGTCCATTCACAAGAATTAATCATGATAGTTACCAGGGGGAACCGCGTGGAGGTCGACCTGGTTAGGTACATTGCTAGCAATGGGATTTTTAGTCTCCATTACTAACAATCCCTTTCCCCCCAATATAATACTATGTTATGTGAAGTCGCTTGAAAATGTTCCAAACATAGCGATAGTGTTTCACTGTATTAACATACAATTTGGCAAGTATGGAGTGATTAGAACGATAAGGTAGTGTTTATCATTTTTGTGAAAGTGTATGTAAATGTCATCAAGTGACCTTAAAAAGAAGGGGGTAATCAATTCGGTTGTATTTTTTTTATGTTTTTTTTACGGGTGATAATGGTATGGTAACCCCGTCTGCGCTATCGGTATACAATGGCCTGACAGGGTATATTGCTAGTAATGGGGCTATTTGACCCCATTACTAACAATCCCTTTCCCCCTTTTTTATGTTTGTTACCTTATAATTTCGTCAGTTGTAAAGCGATTAGATTTTTTTTATGTGAAAGACTTATATAGATAGATTGTCTCCATAGAAATGCTTCGAGAAAAACGGGTAAACTTTTTCATACAATTTTGCGTGATAAATAGTTATGAGTGATTTTTTTATACCACTAAGGTGGCAAACAAGCATACGGCCCACCCGATGGTAAGTGGTTACCGTAGCCTTTATGTACCTTAATTCCTTTATAACGCGTAAACACTAATTTTATTTATTAAATAATACGTCAAGATACATTTTATGCGTAAATATATAATATAGAACATTGATAAAAAAATGAACTTTGAAAAAAATGAAACTTTTTAGCAGCTAATTTGACAATTAGCTGCTAAAAAGTTGATCAGCTGTGAGGCTTGATGCTCTATCTATATAATCAAAGGTAAAAGAATATACATACATATATATATATATATATATATATATATATATATATATATATATATATATATATATATATATATATATATATATATATATATATATATATATATATATATATATATATATATATATATATATATATATATATATATATATATATAGTGGTTTGATTGATATTTAAAAAAAAATCAGTTCAATAGTTTAGTTTTAAAATAAAAATTGTCAAAAAGTTGCCACAATTGAAGTCTTTTTTTTTTAATACTCAATCGTAAATTACAATAATGCTGATGAGCATTATTTGCCAAGTTCTATATTTCGCGCGTTCGAAATGTACTTATATATTTATTTATTTACTCTTTATTACATCACATGCAGTCAGGCTTTAGAGATGTTTTAAGAACGACGCTGCTGCCCATCCCTCGCCATCCTAAGTCGTCTCTTACGACACCCACACACACGGACAGAAGATATATATCTTTATATTATGATATCATTGATTTCAGGTCATGGTTTGTACAATTTGTATGCGCTGGTGGCATGTTGTGTCATCAGTAATGGCGTGGCGCTGGACATGTTCGGGTTCAGCATAGTAGTGGCCGCCTCCAGTTGCGACCTGCAGTTGGGCTTGACAGAAACTGGCCTCTTGGCTTCTGCGCCTTTTGCTGGTAATTTACAATTTTCCAAAAGAATTTGTTCTCGAAACATTCCATCAACTTTTGTGGAGATGTTAATATTTTGATTCTTCTAATTTTTTTTTACTATTGAAGGGGTCTCGCCAATGATCACAATTTCATCTGACGGAAAGCGTTGATGTGGTCGAAGATGGGGCTCGCGGGCTCGTGAATAGAACCTTAATCTTATTTATTCTATTGTTTCCTCGGTGAAGAATTCGGATTTTGTAATATTATGATTTTCTTAAGATGCAGTAATGATCTTGTCAGATAATATATAGACAGAACTAAAGTAATAAAAAGTTAGAGAAATTACATTTTAAATTTAAAGACAAGTATCGAATTTATTGGCAAGAAACATTACATCATTTATGAAATAAAAAAAAAGTAACTTTCCCTCTAGTGAAAAGCTAAGAACAAGGCCGAATCTAGGATTATGTTCAGCATTGGACAGTTAGAGTCTGATATGAATGAATAAACTTTCTCTCTAGTGGAAACCTGAGAACAAGGCCGAATATTTGGTGGAAGTAATTTATTTTTATCTTTATCATTGTCCAGGATTAAAATTGACACATAGCTTTCTCCATCTTAACTACTATGCGTATGCCAAATTTCATAGCGATTAATTGGGTTGCTACAGCGCGAAAAAATAAGAAATAAACTTACTTTGACATGACAATTCATAAGGATGAAATACAAAATAAGGCATAAAAATGTAATAAAATATTTCCAGGCATAGTATTTGCATTTCCATGGGGTTACTATGCTGATACTCGTGGTAGAAAACGAGCTCTGCTGCTGTCTACGATCGCTGGATTTGTATTCTCTGCACTCAGCAGTTTTTCACCTTCTTGGCAAATTATGTTGGCACTAAAGATCTGTGGATGCAGCTTGTAAGTAAAACTAATAATTGAACATGTAATCTTTACATTATATACCAAAAAATAAATAATAATAAAGTACCTGCCTGTCATTAAAAATTTGTAAAACCAAAATTTGTACGTTCACTTCGACGGCGACCTATTATGAAATATCTGTGGCACTTTTCCACGGATTTATTTTTCAAAATTTGCATTTAGTTACTTAGTGAGCATATTTTTTAAAAACCATCTATGTAGTATCTTCCATTACTTGGTCTTGGATCCTTTTGAAGTGTTATTACTGACCGATTTATTATGTATATTAAATGTTCAAGCGCCTTCAAAAAGAAGTATTTTCTCAATTCGGATTTGGAAAATTCTCTTTTTTAGATTATAATTTGGTTGCAGTTCTTCGGCGTCATACACCTTAACTATGATATACTTGGGAGAGTGCACAATCAGCCAACACAGGAGCCGCTATTTATTCATTTTGAATGGCTTTAATTTAGCATCGGAGTTAATATCTTTTGGTAAGAACATTACACTTATCCACTTTGTTTCTTCCTTTCTCATTCGTACAGCCAAGTAATGGAAATATCTTCTGACGTCTGCTATTCCTGTCTCTTGTAATTTGGAATATTTCAAGGCTGTAGGAAATGAGTATTATTTGAGCCTGTACAGTCTATACAGTACCTTAGGTGTAAGGTTAAAAGGGTAATTAGGGTAAAAGACTACTAGGTACTATTACCGTTTGTGTTCATCATAATATCTTCGTCATGTTTAGGAGGTGAGTGGGTCGTGCCCACCCCAGAATTATCTGGTACCCACTCCAAGATCAGAAGCTTTCAATTATGAACAAATACACATCGACTTCTCGTGTCAAGAATATCATCGACTGTTCAAATTCATGTTCTGATGTCGATTCGAAATGAAAATTGTATGGAACTTCTAATTGTCTAAGAGTAGGTACAAGGCAAACGTTCTCGGAATAGATCACCAACGCGATGGACTGTCCTCATCAAAACGGCCACACAGCAATTGTGATATGCTCTCGCTCGGCTGTGAGCAGAAGCAGATGGAGACACATTGCGAGGACTTCAATCGCGAAAAATAGCCTCATCGATAATCCACTATAATCATCAAAATCACGACCACTCTGTCAAGAGTGTACGACTAAAGAGAGTGTCAAGAGTGTCTAGATCACCTTCGTTGTACATGAAATCTTGTGTTTTATGAGCATCAAATTGAGTGGTTTTATTTTCCGAGCTGTACATAAATCTATCTGTTTTGGTAATTGTTATTAGACAATAGTTTAACATAGCTTTAAAAATTTTGGATTTGTAATTTTAGCTTTGGCCTATTTCGTGTTACCACTGGACTTCAGGGTAGCTGTCACCTGGCTTGCAATTAGTTTCCGATCCTGGCGACTCTTTGCTCTAATCATGGCTGCTCCGCTCGGCATTGGGGCAGTGATGTTGATTTACCTCCGAGAAAGCCCCAAGTTTTTGGCCCATAAAGGAGAATTTGAAAAGGCATTGAAAGTACTTAAGAAGATGTATGAAGCTAATGGTGGAAACTAGACTGATTATCCGGTTAGTGATTAGAAACAAAAACATGTTACCAAATAATATTCATAAAATTAAGAGAGTTTATAACGAAGTATGGTAACTCAGCAATTATCTGGCAATTTTAAAAAACAATTTAACTATTTTTGTGATTCGTTATTTATAAAATTCTCTGCTAGCGAACTATAACGTTGAATATGCAATAATATTCTTATAAAGCTATCACCTAATATTAAAATATATATATTGTTAAAAAATAAATTATAATTGTAAAATTCCAAAGTAAAATATGAAGTAATTGCAATGAATTTACTTCTAACGCAATGCCTTCTATGACCAACGTTTTAGTTTGCTAACAGAATCTTTTAAACAATCAATTAGAAACGTTGAAAAATGTTCAATAGTTTTTTTTTTTTAAATTGACAGATAAATGCGAATTTGCCATCCTTTGTTATGAATGCTCTAAAATTTGAAGTTTTAATGTAATAATATTTTTTTTACGCAGGTCAAACGGTTATTTTTAAAAGAGGTCCAGATTGCTGAGCGATCGTTCTGGCGATCGTTGGTGGAGCAGACGGTTCCTCTTTTCAAGCCACCCCTAATCTGTAGCACTTTGTTTTTGTTCTACTTAATTGCGATATGCATCAGTACGTAAGTATAAACAATAGAAAATAACTGTAGATCGATAATGTAATCATAAAAGATTCCTAATTCTTAAAATTTTGATAAATTTAAATCCGTATCAATTTTCGAAACGAGAATTTTTAAATCTTTGTTACCAAATTAAGTTTCTGATTCAGCAGCTTTTGATTATCATCGGCATCAATTACTGCTGTTAGTCATTTCAAGTACTTAGTATAAAAAATGTCTCATTTATATCTTTGCAATGGACGCGCGAAAATGTTCTTAATCATTCTTATGACAGTTAACGAATTCAGGCGAGAGGAATAACAATGGATGTACTACCTTCCTCCTGATTCATGACCGTAGCACTTTTATATAATTATGTAAACAATTTTCAAGTCAATATAAGGGTATCCTTGTCATATTCTTGTAAACAGCAAGAATATGATTCAACATTTGTTCCTAAATGAAATTCTATATCCCTGATTAGATAAATTATTTCTAAGAATCCTTTTTTTGTATTTAAGTCACGCACGGGGTCCGAGAAGCAGCAATTTTGAGGAGGTCCGTGGAAAAATTGGTATCTTTGGAAATATTTGAGCTAGAGATGCGTTAAAACTACCAGACGATGCGTTTTAGTGTATTTTACAGGGAAAGTGATTTTTCTCCCCGGGGAGATCAGTGACCTCTAGTTTTTAAAGTACCACTGTATGTACCCGGTCATGACCTAGTAGTACTCCGGAATTTTTTGAGACCTGTTTATTCTGAAGATTTCGGTGATAATCGGGAAGAACCGAAAACTACATGATCATCAGGTCTCTGTTCCAGTAGGCGGCAGCATCTTCAGAGAGTATTTATCAGTATTGTAGTTAGTTGTTAGTTGCTAGATACAAAAAATTGTCATCGTTGATGTAACTAACTACTATACGTTTTAATCGTTCTGTTTTGGAATCCCGCAATGAGGAGGAGGGCGTTCATATTCGCGACACAGTTTTATACTTCTGCGGATATCATCGTTTTTCAATAATATTGTAACCAATGTTTTTGTTCCAAATAAAGAATTATTATTATTATTTGCAGAGCTAAATGTATTTATGGTGTTTTTATTGTGTTTTATTTTAGTAACAACATATTTCTTATGTGGTATCCTACAATGGTGAACCTATTCTTCAACTCATTCTCCAACGATTCTCGGGAGAGCTCGAGTTTCTGTGATAGAATTACTGTTGGGATTGTTACAACCGACGTGGTGGGTGATGTGAGTATTTATATATAGATTATATTTAGGTTTCAGTTTTCCTTTTCTTAGAATTGTTTAATTTATGAGTATTTGATTTCACGGAGAAATTAATATAAGCGACACTTTGTAAAATTTTTGCGAAATCGGTTAGGTATTTTTAATTTTTTAGAACAATTTCTGAAAGCGTACAAGTGCTTAAAGTTCCACCAAATATAAGTTCACATCGTTATCATGTCAGTCTTTAACTGTCCACTGCTGTACCCTTAGGGCGCTTTGCCAGTAGTTGCCACATTTGGCAGGCGAAGTGGCAAACGCTGCTATGCTGCCCATCCCTCTTCCTCTCTTAATCGCGCCTTACGACACCCACGGGACAGGAAGGGGTGCCTTATTCTATGCCGGGACCATACGGCTAAAAAGTTGACGTATTTCAAATTTAATAACAGTTGCTTGTATACATAATTCGTAAAAATATTTAACTATTGACGGGAGAATTATTCTTGTACAAGAATTGTGTTATATTCTCTTAATTGTATGGTGGGGCGGGGGGAGGGCGTTGTTAGAAAATGGGGCTTAAACTCTCCATTGCCAGCAATATACCCAATCAGGTCAACCTCCACGCGGAAAACGTCATTGTTAATTTCTATCGATTTTCCAAATCTATATTCATTCTTTCCTATCAACTCCTATCCGTTATCTCTTATCGGCATCTTTTGACTCAGGATGAGGATGCAAAGGAATGGTGGCCAACCAAAATCTGACTTCGATTGGAAACCGCCTACCAAGCGTGACAACTACTGGAAAAACTCCCCAAAAGGAAGAAGTCTTTGGTCAGTAGTGGGCAGATAAAGGCTGATATGATGATGGTGTTGGGACCCTTTGCGAGTGACTTCAATTTTTTCTTGATTGTTTTTTTTTTCAGACCCCGTGTGATGCTACGATATCCGTGAACACTTTATACTCAGGAATGATGTATGGTCTTCTCTATATCTCCTTAACTTTAATATCCGCACAACTGGCCACCTACCGTCGGTCTGTGCTGATGATTACTCTCGTCGTATCAGCTATCAGCGGGATCCTGGTGAACCTGGTGAATCAGCCAATTGTCAATATGATTGCCTTCGTCCTCCTGCAGGGCACTGTTGTCGGTTTAGGTAGTGTGATGGCCTATTTTGTGGATCTGTACCCGACCTCTTATAGGTACGTGTATGTTTTAATTGAGTAGTTAAGCAGAGTCTGTGGTTTGCTTGATGGAAAATTCATTTTATTAGTTACTTTTTTTTATTGGTGGGAATGTGATAGTGGTGGGGTGGGGTATGGTAACCCTGCCTGTGCTTTTGATAGTGGCTGGTGCCCCTAGTGAGTGATGATAGGTGAGTATAAAAAGCAGGTCAGTTAGCTCATCGAGGAGAGAATTATACGAGAATTAACCATGATGGTTGGGGGGAAAGGGATTGTTAGTAATGGAGACTGAGAATCCCATTCCTAGCAATATACCCAACCATGTCGACCTCCTCGCAGTTCCCCCTGGAAACTATCATGGTTAATTCCTGATGAATTCATCATGATGGGCAACGCATGGGGAGTATCATGGGCGAAACAGTATACTCTGTTATGTCTATGGTACTGCTCATGACTATAGGCGACGCTTACTACTTTCCATTTGGCGGGCCGTCAGCTTGTTTGCCGTTGTAAGTTGTATAAAAAAAATACCATTTTCACCCATCAAAAAACACCATGACGGTTTCCAGGGGGAACCACGTAGAAGTCGATCTGATAGGGTATATTGCTAGCAATAAGGCTATTAGAACCTATTACTATTACCCTTTCCCTTCTCGCGTATGGATTTGAAGCATAAGGTTTGGCAGCGATTACAAGGGACGTAGGTATACCACCATAGTCCTTGGGATTGTTAGCAATGGAGTTTGATAGCCCCATTGCTAGCAATATATGCCCTATTAGGTCGACCTCCAGGCGGTTCCCCCTAGAAACCATCGTGGCTAATTCTAGTTGAATTCGTCAGGATGGGCTAACTGACCTACTTTCATCCTCATCAGTCATCTATCACTGGTGTCCCGCCAGTGTATACCGATAGCACAGGCGGGGTTACCATACCATTATCACCCATTAAAAAAAACCACCATTGTCCTCAGTAATGGCAACACAGGTAGAGCGAGGGGTGAAAGGATTACTAACGTAGACTACCAGTTGGTGGACCACGGTGGTGGTAGTGTCACTTTCCATCAGATGGGTTGATTAAAATGTGATTTTTTTTTCAGGGGAATGGCAACGAACCTGGGCGTGATGTTTGCAAGACTAACATCATTGGCCGGGGTCAATGTGGTGGGCGCAGTCATCGTTAATCACTGTAGCCTCACCTTTTACTTATGGTCCTGCTTCGTGCTTAGTAAATATCTAATTTTTTATCCTTACATCACGCTTATGCATAACATATTATGCTATATTGTATCAAGTAGTTTATGTAAAGTTCTCTAGATGGCGCTATACCGAAATCTGAAAATTAATAACCTAAGATCCCGTGCTTGATCTCTGCCGGTATAAGAATGAAACTTGGTTTAAATGAAAGATCAGTTAAAATATAATAGAATGCATTCGAGTTGATCGTTTTCATTTAGTTGCAACCATGAAGGGAAAGTCAACCAGAGGTGACCGCGGGGAGGTCGACCTGACAGGGTATATTTCTAGCAATGGGACTGGTAGTCTGGATTATTAACATATAACCGTGATAAAATTTTAAAAGATTATTTTATTCAACAGGTGGCGTGGTTGTGGCGCTCGTGTTTCTTCCTTCAGACAAACGGAAGGAAAAATTTTAGGAAATAAAACTATTACGAATGCAATAAATGAATTACAACACGAAAACGTTTGTATTGATTTTATAATAAACATGTGACTGTTATAATATATCAATACATTTAATAACATCGTAACTGGTCGCTGTCTGTACATGGAAGATATATAAAAAAAAAACTATTATAGGGTTGGGGGGGGGGGGGGGGGTTATAAAAGCAGTAGAACCCAAAACAAATATTTTTAGACTGTTTGTCTGTTTGTCTGTTTGTCTGTTTGTCTGTTTGTCTGTTCTGTCTGTCTGTTCATAAAGTTTATGGATGCTAATCTCAGAAGCGGCTTAACCGATTTGAATGCGGTTTCCACTAATGCATTGGGATTTGCTCAATTTAACATTTAGTGTTTATTTCAATCGGTTCATAAATAAAAAAGTTATAACAGTTTAAAGAAACATATATAAAATGTTATAAATTAACCGATCAGTTATATATCATATGATATGATATGATTTATATCATATCATCACGCTACGATCAATAGCAGTGAAGGGAAATGTTGGGAAAACGGGAGAAGTTACTCCATTTTTAAGCTTCCGTCGCGTATGCAGCCTTAATGGCCACTTTTAAAAATGTAAAAATGTCCACCCGTGCGACGCCGGGACGGGCCGCTAGTATATCATATGATTGACTCATAGGATTTTATATAGGGATTCACACGGGCAGCGTCGCAGGAAACAGCTAGTATATTAATGCGCGAAACAAAAATTTTGTACACTTTTTTACGAAAATTGCGCGGTCGGAGGAGTATGAAATTTGGCACACTTATAGTTTATACAGAGAAGGAGCGCAAAATTCTAATATTGTTTTTTAATTATGCATAAAAATACATTAAAGCAATAAAAAATATATTACATACATTTTTTTTTATAACACGGAGAAAACGAGCATGCGGCTCACCTGATGGTAAGTGACTACCGCCGTCTATGATCACCCACAACACCAACGGCATTGCAGGTGTGCTGCCGGCCTTTTAAAAAGGAATATACTCTTTTCTTGAAGGTTATGTTGTCGTATCGGTTCGGAAATATCGCTGTTGGAAGTTGATTCCAAAGAATGGTTGTGCGTGGGAGAAAGTGAAAGGAAAGGAAGTGTGACCTATTCTATACCGGAATCACAAGGCAGCGTACATAATTACAGTAAAATATATGATTGCAGGTACATAACAGAAAGAGAAAGTGGCGAGAAAAGTAAAAAGAGAAGGAGTGACACTTTTTTGTTGATGTTTGGGTAAAAATCAAAATTCGCATCTGGCAACCCTAGACTACACGTAAAAAAATGGGCATACAACCGTAATTAGGTACAATGTAATTAGCAAGATTTTATCTTATCTTACTCTTAATATTTACATAGTAAATATGCTACGATATCTCATAAATTATATTTAGTGGGTATGCAATAGTTTTATCTATTACCTATATTTTGTGTCAATAAATACGTCACATTTAGAACATATGCATAGCATAATATGTGTTAGTTCATTCGTTGTTTGCCAGAGGGTGACTTTGTACAAAAGTCGATTGCTTGGGTACCTCTCTCCCATTGGTGTTTCTACCGTGAAGTAGTTGTGTTTGCATGGCTGTGTTTTGGTTTGAAGGATGGGATATGGCGTGAATTTACAGGGTACAGAGGAATAACATCTGAGTCCTCAGGAATCCTCAGGAATGGCAACGCATGGGGGGTATCATGGGCGAAACAGTATACTCTGTTATGTCCATGGTACTGCTCATGTCTATAGGCGACGGTTACCACTTTCCATCAGGTGGGCCGTCAGCTTGTTTGCCATTCTAAGTTGTATAAAAACATATTTTGGATTAATATGCCAGTACTCAAAATTTCCAAGCTTTAAAAATAAGAAGCTAGAATAGGGTTGCCAACTGTCAAATCAAACAAAGGATTTAATTGTTGTTATTGTGTTGTAAACAACATGAAAACACAATAAATGATTAAATAAAATTTAATAATACTTCACCTTCTATCTATCCTATTTAAGAGCTGCGCTCTTGTCGGTGGAGCTCTTGCCACTCACTACGATTTACAGCGAGTCTCTTCCCCTCTTGATACGACATAACACCAACTCCTTTCTTGATCTGCCCGATGTAACTATGTCTCGGTCTCCCTCTTCCCCTTTCCTTCCTTCTATTTTACATTCTATTATAATTTTCACAAGTTCGTCGTGTCGTATCAAGTGTCCTAACATTTTCTCCCTTTTGACCTCAATAGTTCTTATAATTTTTCTCAACTCTCTGACTCTTTTTCTTAACCCTAAGTAGGACCTCTTCATTACTCCTCAATTTGATCTTTTCAGACTAATTTTCTCTATTTTTTCTCATACATACTTCACTTTACGTATAAAAAATAACCGTATGTTTGTTTATCTACACCATTGAACAAATATATAGAAACACGAAATGGTACAACTATACGGTGTCTTGGGAGAGGAAAGGATTGCTAGTTCTGCGGACTACTAGTCCCCTTGCTAACAATACACCCTGTCGGGTCGACCTCCATGTGATACCTCCTGGAAATTATCGTGCTGAACTCCAGGTGTATTCATAACGATAGCCTAGCTGCCCTGCCTATTCATCCTCACCTATCATCCAACACTGGTTCCCCCCCGGCGTGTACCGTTATAGGTGGGGTTACACATTAAAAATAGTACATTACTGCAGCGGCCAGAAACTGAGGCATTGATGGACTCACGTGTGTGTGCCTCGGCTACGCCTCGGCCCACATTTGCACGTTCGTCCATCAATGCCTAGTTGTGGCCAAGGTTTGTATAGTAGATACTTTTCTCAAACAATGCGCGGAAATCAAAAACACAATTTTACTTTTTAAGTTCAATGACGAATAACGAACAATAATAATTTTTCACGTGCCATAATGTTCCTTTGTTTTTTTTTTTTCAATAAACAGCTTTCTATTTGCAAGCCAGTTCGAAATTTAAATAAAACCTTTTATTAGTTACCTCCTTGGTAGCCATGTTTCGAAGCAAAAGGTCATTCCATTTTTAAATTACAGGACAGATATGAGTTTACATAGTAATTTATCTGGCCGCAAAACACGACAGATATGGATTTTCATACAACTTTTGCCGGCCGCTGCCCGCATGTATCTGGCCAGTACGGCAATTTTGATTTATCTCGAAGAAAATTGACAAAATAATGCTCACATTTCCAAGCACGTTTGAGAAAAAAACTATACAGTGTCAAATGTGTCACATTACAAGAAAACAAGAACGCAACGTAATCAAAAGTGTCATAGTCATAAATAAAAATGGTGTGTAACGTATGATAAGTTTATTCTCGTATTAGTGTCTACTTACAACGTAATATTTTATCATAACATTAAATAATACGTATATTTTTACTATCATCGTTATGTTGATAATGTGGGTTCATTTTTATTTTAAACGTAGACGTTTTTTTTTAATGGGTGATAATGCAATGGTAACCCTACCCGCGCTATCGGTATACACCGGCGGGGCACCAGTGAAGGATGATAGGTGAGGATGAAGCAGGCCAGTTAGCCCATCGTGACGAATTCAACAAGAAATGTTCACGATGGTTTCCAGGGGGAACCACGTGGAGTTCGACCTGATAGGGCATATTGCTAGCAATGGGGCTGTCAAACTCCATTGCTATCAATCCTTTTCCCCCCACATATATAACCGTTAGCCGTTAACCGTCCACTGCTGAATGGACCACCGTCTCTCTCATACGAAAGGTTTTGCCAGTATTTGCTTCGCTTGCTAGAGCTATCGCAGTTAGGTTTTGGTGACGTTTTAACAGGGACACTGCTGCCTCTTAGTGGCCTCTTACGACACCAATGGGAAAGGAAGGGGTGGCCTATTCTATGCCGGGAGCATACAGCTATATACGACATACATGTATGTTTGTTTTGTCTCCCATTAGGGTAGGCAATAATTATAGAACTCTGTTATTATTATTTATTTACTATTTAAAAAAAAAATCAAAATTGCAATTATCTGAAATGATAATGAAATGAATATAAAGTATATTAAAAAAGTTTATTTTTAAGATACCTACACATTTTTTAAACCCTTTTTATTGTTAAAAGGTTTGTAAGAATTTATTGTATTTTAATGTAATCGCTATCGGTTTTTTTTTACAACACAGGGGGCAAACGAGCATGCGGCTCACCTGGTGGTAAGTGACTACCGCCGCCCATGATTACCCACAACACTAACGGCATTGCAGGTGTGCTGCCGGCCTTTTAAAAAGGAATATGCTTTAGGTTTAACAGTCAGCCTCGCGCTCCCGTTACATTTGCTCATGATTAAGGGCCTCGAATTGGTTCCGAAACTAGTCACACTTTTTCGATCTAATTAGATGTAAGTTAAACCGGTAGTTATTGCGTTAAAACTTTAACGGCATGTGGCATCGCGTGAGGGGTGCCATGGGCGTCACCGTCATATTCTTTTATGTCCAAGGTGCTCAGTCCATTAACTGGGCTATTAACCTTTTCATAATTGTAAGTTGCACTCTCGTAAAAAATTTGCAACTAAGTTGTAAGCAAAATCCTTACTTCACTCGATGGTCTATTAACGTTCTGTTTAAATTTGAGTCACAAGTAGATTCTCAATGACTTCTTCATCAACGTCAACGCTGGAAACCTAAACGTCGTAACTCAAAAATGGGGGGGAAAGGGATTGTTAGTAACGGAGATTGAGAATCCTATTGCTAGCAATATACCCAACCAGGTCGACCTCCTCTCGCGGTTCCCGTTAGCGCAGGCGGGGTTAACATACCATATTCACCTATTAAAAAAAACCTGAACGTCGTTGTACTATCCATATTTAGCGTCGATCTGTTTCCTACATAAGTGAATGTAAATAACATTTTTATTTTTGCATATTGTTTTTTTTTTTTATACAACTTAGAATGCCAAACAAGCTGACGGCCCACCTGATGGAAAGTGGTAACCGTCGCCTATAGACATGAGCAGTACCAGTGAAGGGTGATAGATGAGGATGAAAACAGGCCAGTTAGCCCATCATGATGAATTCATTAGGGATTAACCATGATAGTTTCCAGGGAGAACCGCGAGGAGGTCGACCTGGTTGGGTATATTGCTAGCAATGGGATTTTCAGTCTCTATTACTAACAATCCCTTTCCCCCCTGTTGTGTGTATTAGGTACAGCTATATTTATTATTATTATCATTAAAATTTACAACGTGAATGTCAAGCCATACTGTCCTTGACAGTAAGCGATCAGTTCAGCCGATATATACTGATAAAGCCAGCACTGTCACAGAATTCTGACCCTTGTGATATTACAATCTCGAGTCACAGTACCTACTAAGTTTGCAACTGTAGTTTATCCTTCAAACTAGAACAAAGCATGTAACCTAGCTAGGAGGGGGGAAAGGGATTGTTAATAACGGGGAGGACAGTCCCCATTGTTATCTATATGGGTATATCAGGTCGACCGTCACGCGGTTCCACCTGGAAACCATCGTGACTAATTAACTTTGAATTCGTCACAATAGCGTAACTGACCAGGTTTTTCATCCTCACCTATCATCCCCCACTGGTGCACCGCCAGTGTATACCGATGGCGCAAACGGGGTTACCATTCCATTATCATCCATTAATAAAAGCCTAGCTAGGAGGAATAAGGAATTATTATAACAGGGACTAGTGTCCCCATTGCTAGCAATATACCTTGTCAGGTCATCACGCGGTTTCGGAAATCATCGTGGTTAGTTCATCATGTTCACCAATCATTCCTCTCTAGTCTGACTCACTTTTTACCGCCGATTGTTACCATTCCGTTATCATACATTAAAGAAAAATAGATATTTGATGGTGGATGGTAAATTTATGTATGACTTGCCTGTTTCAAAATTAACTAATGTTTCAAATTCGTAACTATTAGTAAAGTTTGAATTTTATTTATACCACTGAGGTGGCAAACAAGCATACGGCCCACCTGATTGTAAGTGGTTACCGTAGCATATGAACGCCTGCAATACCAGAGATATTACGCGCGTGTTGCCGACCCTGAAGAAACCTCTTTACCCCCCTTTTGAAGAACCCCATGCTGTAGTCTCTTGGGAAAACCTCGGCAGGGAGCTCATTCTGTAACCTGAGTGTTCGTGGGAGAAAACATCTCTGAAACCGCGTTGTACGCGACCATCTAGGCTGTAGGGTATGAGCGTGAACTCCCTGTCGATGGCGAGCCGTACGATGGTAGAAAGTGGCCGTGGGCATCATATTGAACAATTCCTCTGAGCACAATCCGTTGTACAAGCGGTAGAACACGCAGAGTGAGGCAAAATCTCTCCTAAGACTTAAGGGACTTCTAATATTAATTACTAATATAGCTGTTTTCTTTTATTAGTTGAAGTTATTTTATTTCTATTAAATAACTAACTATAATATTAAATAACTTTGTACAAAAGTCGATTGCTTGGGTACCTCTGTCCCATTCGCGTTTCAACCGTGAAGCAGTTGTTTGCATGGCTGTGTTTCGGTTTTAAGTGTGGGATATGGCGTCAATTTACTGGGTACAGAGGAATAACACCCGAGTCCTCAGGAATGGCAACGCATGGGGGTATCATGGGCGAAACTGTATACTCTGTTATATCCATGGTACTACTCATGTCTATAGGCGACGGTTACCATTTTCCATCAGGTGGGCCGTCAGCTTGTTTGCCATTCTAAGTTATAAAAAAAACTAGTGACTTCGTTCTCGTGACCGGGATAAAAAGTAGCCTATATTATTTTTGTATCCCATGTAGTACGTGAGTTTCAAATTTTCATAGTGATTGGTTAAGCCGTTAAGACTTCATAAGATAAGGAACAAATAAACTCAATTGCACGTTTATACGTATAATATTAGTAAGGTACAAGCTCTTTAAATTACTTTCATGTTTTGAGAATGTAAGTAAAGAACATTTGAGAGGGTAATTCAGACCACTTCATAGTGGTACACTTTGATTTTAGTAGATTTAAAAAGAAAAAAATATATGAAAATCTTATTGTACGCACACTGTCCGCTGGTAATTAATGCTCCTTTCTGTTCAGTTCCTCGCTGGTCGCTGGTTTTATTGTGGTTTAATTATCCAGGAATTTGTACCAGAAGAATAAAATAAAAAATGAAAATGCCGTGTATAGACGTACATGTATGTATATTGAATGAAGTGAACAGAGGAGAAACAAAACAAACATTCTAGAAAACAAAAGAAAAACCAAAAAGTATTTTACAATTATAAAATAGTTAGAATTACTATATTTCAGAGTTAAGCTCGCCTGTTGTACATCTTTATTTATATATATATATATATATATATATATATATATATATATATATATATATATATATATATATATATATATGTTTATAATTGTTTTGTATACAATAAAGTATAAATAAATAAATAAAAATGATGATTTAGAAGTGCTTATATACAAGTCTATTTGATTAAAGATCATTTAAAATTGAATTTAGCCAGTAGGCCGAAAAGCGATTACATGAGGGGTACCATGGACATTACATGGTATTCTGCGATGGAAATGGTACTGTTCATGTCTATACGCCCATGAAACCCCTCACTTGTTGATATTCCTGAGGACTACGATGGTATGCCTTCTGCACTCTGTTATTTCACTGCAATATTCCGGCTTCCAAACCAAAACATAGTCATGCGAGCATAAATATATTATGGCCTAGGTAGCCATGGAGATAACTTTTGTATAAAGCCTCCCTCTAGTGGTCCTTTGGTTTAAAATAAAAAGAATTATTTATTCAAGTAAACTTAATTATTAATATTTTTGGAAAGTCAATTTTTATGAATCTACAGCTAAGTTTCGCTTTGTCTGTTATTAAGTTTAAATTGAAACATCACAGTGAACGCTTCTACTTCATACATTTATTTTCGATACAGTCATTAAACCGATTACAAAAAATATTGTAGAATATGTTAAAGAGTTACTTAATAATAGAAAATCGACAAGATATATCGCTCAAGAGTTAAATGTGAGTCAATCAACGACACAAAGAATTAGAGCCAAACGTAAATTTTCGATACCAATTAATGTTGGTGGTCGTACTAAAAAATTATCTGATAGAGACGTTCCGTGTAAAATTTCAGCTGAGAAGAACGGACGAGAAATTCGGCTGTTGCTTTTTTTAAACATGTGTTTATAACAAAAAAGAAATGTGAATGGACAAAGTGACTATCACAAACAAAAAGAAAAAAAAACTCCAATGAATTACAGTATTCTTGAACAGACCAGTTCCTACTGGAAGCAGCCGTTCACGAGTATGACGAAAGAGCCAACCATCGTTGTGTTCAACCATATTATAGAGAGCCCAACGATCCGGCCTACCATGCCGCCACTTTGAATTGAAATAACAGAGAATAATGCTTGCATCCTATAAATCAACATGCAAACATACACGATTCCGCATTCTGAATTTAAATATTTACATTATAAGGCATCTACAAAACATTTCGTTGATCTTGCGCGTGTGTGTGTTCACATTTGAAGTCGCTTTTTTAACCGACTTAAAGAATAGGAGGTTGTCAATTCGGTATTTTTTATGTTTACCATACCATACCATGCTGTTTACTGTCCACTGTTGAATATAGGATCTCCCTCTATTGGAGAGTTTTACCTGTAGTTGCCACGTTTGGTAGGCAGATTAGCAATTGCAGTTAGGCTTTAGTGATGTTTTGAGAATGACGCTGCTGCCCATCCTTCAACAATTGAATTCCCTTAGTCGCCTCTTACGACACCTCCGGAAAAGGATGGAAATGTTTAATGTTTTATGTTTATTACTTCATAACTCTGTCATGTATAAAGCAATTTTATTTGTAAAGTTTTTAATTTGAAAAATTTCTTTTTATACAATTTAGAATGACAAACAAGCTGACGGCCCATCTGATGGAAAATGGTAACCGTCGCCTATAGACACCAGCAGTACCATGGACATAACAGAGTATACTGTTTCGCCCATGATACCCCCAAGCGTCGCCATTCCTGAGGACTCAGGCGTTATTTCTCTGTACCCAGTAAATTCACGCCATATCCCACGCTTCAAACTGAAACACAGTGATGCAAACACAACTGCTTCACGGTAGAAACACGAATGGGACAGAGGTGTCCAAGCAAACGACTTTTGTAGTCTCCCTCTGGTAAACTACTATTACTACTCCCATGAGTTCCACAACCTTCCATATTAGCCATTAATCTATTGCTATTTTATTCACGCATGTTATGCGACACCTGTGATAAAGGCATCTTCAGGGAAATTATTAAATCGGAGCCTAGTATAACCGTTCGACACCCAAACAGCGAAAGTTTTTTTTTTCATTTCATTTTCGAACATTATATCCCGTAATAACCCGTGTGAAGCCGGGTCGGATCGCTAGTAACACAAATCTAATTATTATCCCTATAAATTACAGTATGAAGTTTTTCAAAAAGGTTTCTCGCAGGTCGCCAATGCACGTACTATTTTTGGTGTTGCACTCTACGGTATTCGTTTACATACATACTCGTGCCGTACATTGCTGTAGAAAAAAAATCACGCATCTGTAATACGTAATTGGGACTCTTATCAAAAAATGTTTATCAACTGTCAACTTTATTTACATTTTTTCGAGTTTTAATGTATAACGATGACAATGGTATGCTATTATTAAGTATAGAAAACAGATAAAGACCGCAGTTTAGTACCCCATCGAGCGGGAAGGAGGAAAGAGTTTATGTCACTTTGTGTATGTGGTTCTTGGTTTTGAGAACTTTTGATTAAAAAAAAGTTAATAAGATTGTCTCTTGTAATTAACAAAATTGTGATATACATATAAGTTTTAAATATTTGTGGGCAAAATGACAGCAAAACTAAATAAAGTGCCCTTTGAAGATGCGTTGACGATGACCGGTAAGTTTTCCATCGAATTTAAAAAAAAGGTGGTTCTGATTTCGATTCTGTTTTTTTTTTTTTTATTGTTACCTTAGTTATAAATTATATTGGAATACCTTTTCTTGTCTAAAAGGATATTATTCTGATCTTTTTTATTTAAAAAGAAAAGAATACTCTCACAGATTGGTCCCGTAGACATTTTTCAAAATTGATTCAATAATAATTCAAATGTGATTTTGAAAAATTTAGGAGTATTGGGTTTTGATATTAAGATCCTTGGACGGTAGTCAAGCGTTGCCAAATTGAGCTGCCACCACAAAAAGAGTTAAATAAATGTAAAAAAGAGGATATATCCAGAAAGGGAGTACTTGAATACTGAAAATAAAAAGGTATATGTAGGAAGTTGGAAACATATCCACCGTGCGTTTTTCAAGGCATTTTCTTCCACGCACAACCACACTTTGGAATCAATTTCCAGTAGCAGTATTCCCGAACCGATATGACACCATAACGTTCAAGAAAAGAGCATATTCCTTTTTAAAAGGCCTGCAGCACACCTGCAATGCCTTTAGTGTTGTGGGTGATCATGGGCGGCGGTAGTCACTTACCAACAGGTGAGCCGCATGCTCATTTACCCCGTGTGTTGTAAAAGAAAATTATTACGTTGAACTCAAATGATATGGGATAAGGGAAGGAAGATGATATATCGGTAACATTTGTAAGGTTTCTGTTTCTCTCTGTTAATTTGATGTATGGTCATTGGTTATTCTAATGTCATCCACCTGAGAATGACAATAGGAATATAGTCAGTCCAGTATGGACTCGCAAAGCAAAGGAGAAGCCAGTATGGAAATCTTTAGAGAGGACCTATGTCCCAAGACAAGCTCTATTGGATCAACGACCGTTTATTGATATTTAATTTCAAGATTACAAAAAATAGTTTCAGTATCTTTTTCATATGGTATCTTTATATTAATTTTATTTATTTTATTTTTATTAGTTTTCCTTAAACGTTTTTAGGCTTCAGCAAGTTCAACTACTTCGTGTTCGCGCTGTGCAGCAGCATCATCATGGGGATGTGTTTTGAAATATTCTCAGTGGCGTATTTGGTGCCGGCCAGCGTCTGCGAGCTGAATACTACCAGCTCGCAGCAGGGGCTCATGGCTGGAACTCCGCTTATTGGTATGACTAATTCTTGATTTTTTACCAGAGGGAGACTGTACAAAAGTCGTTTTCTTGGAAATCTCAGTCCTATTCGTGTTTTTAGCGAGAAACAGTTGTATTTGCATGGTTGTGTTTTGGGTTTGAAGGGTGAGATATGGCAGTGAATTTACAGGGTACAGAAGAACGCCTGAGTCTTCAGGAATGGTAACGCATGGGGGGTATTATGGGTGAAACAGTTTACTCTGTTGTCTATGGTACTGGCCATGTCTATAAGTGACGATTACCACTTTTCATCAGGTGGGCCGTTAGCTTGTTTGTCATTCTAAGTTGCATGAAAAATGATGTTTTTATTTCCTTTCCTCACAATATCTCATAATAGTATCAAAAGTGTTTGGAAGTTATGGGCGGCGGTAGTCACTTACCATCAGGTGAGCCGCATGCTCGTTTGCCCCCTGTGTTGTAAAAAAAAAAAAAAAAAGAAGTAATTTTCATTTTTAAATTAATGTTGAACGATGTCTCATGGAATACAGCTCGCAATTTTGCAATTGCAGTTCAAATAATAAAATATATTTGATGTAATATAAGTCCGATATTTATCATGACAGTCCAACTGACCTGACTTTTTCTTCAACTGTTATCCCTCACTGTACTAGTAAAAATTGACAGCGCAGGTTATGTTACTATTATTTTATCACTCATTAATAAAACATATATCTATACTTACAATTCGTGCTCTAATTTCTAGTCACCCTGACTTTTTTTTGATACCACTGAGGTGGCAAACAAGCATACGGCCTACCTGATGGTAAGCGGTTATCGTAGCCTATGAACGCCTGCGATACCAGATGTCTTACGCGCGCGTTGCCAACCCTGAAGAAACCTCTTTACCCCCTTTTGAAGAACCCCATGCGGTAGTTTCTTGGGAAAACCTCGGCAGGGAGCTCATTCCATAACCTGAGTGTTCGTGGGAGAAAATATATCTGAAACCGCGTTGTACGCGACCATTTAGGCTGTAGGGTATGAGGGTGAACTCCCTGTCGATGGCGAGCCGTACATGATAGAAAGTGGCCGTAGGCATCATATTGAATAATTCCTCTGAGCACAATCCGTTTTATAAGCGATAGAACACGCATTTTGTCATGTAAATCACTACTGTTTGGGTGGTCTTATCTCATGGTGTTCCATGTTAGAAATAACAATCGAGTAAAAATAGTACACTTGGAACTTAAGAGTATAATATAGTAAAGTAAGGAGACCTTACATAGGTTGTACAAATTTTTAAATAACATATTTGTTATTAAGGGTGGAAACATAATAAGAGGTATTAGGGTACGATATCAGACAGTTGGGGGGAGAAGGCATTGTTAGTAATGGGGATTAGTAGTACTCTGTCAGGTCGACCTCCTCGTGGTTCCTCCTGGAAACCATCGTGATTGATTTATTGTTACGAGTAGATTCGTCACGGTGGGCTAACTGACCTGCCTCATTCTCACCTAACATCCTTCACTGGTGCCCCGCCGGTGTACACCGATAGCGCGGGTGGGGTTACCATTCCATTATCATCCATAAAAAAAAATGGATATCAGACAGTTACCACTTTTCAATAGGTGGGCTGTTAACTAGTCTATTATTGTCAGTAGAATAAATAACTAACTGAATAAATGTTATAATTGAATAATAAAAACTAATGAATAAAGTTATAAATAAAGTATTATTACATTTCTATAGTTAAATAATTTTTGAAAGTATTTATGTAAATTTAAAAAAGAGAGTATTTCAAATTTGAATCAATTTTCACTATTTTTCAATTCGATTAGAATTATTTTTTCGATTTTATAATAAATTCTGGTATTATTACATTGGTTTATTTTGTTTTAAAACAAAGTCTTTATCAATTACAATTTACTATCCTCATGTTTTTAAGGCTAATTAAATGTATTTAAAATGTTAATTTAATGTGTTTAAAGTATTGCCATGCAATTTAAAGAAATAAAAAAAATGAAACTACGACATATGCTGAGTTAGGGCCTTTGCACAAACACTACTACATTCGTTTTTTTCTTCTTTGATTGTAATTTTAAAATAAAATAATTATGTTATTATATAATCGTGTAATCTCATTTTTTATGTCGTTTTGTCATATGTAACATGTATAATTTATATGTATATATTTTTTCTTAAAAAGAATGTGTCTAATCTAATGAATGATATTATTTGTTTAAAATTTGTTCATTGTATGTGTAAATAAATAAATAAATAAAGTGCACGATGTGCCAAAGGTCAGTACATTTGTAACGTGTGCATATTTGTACACGTTACAAATTTACTGACCTTTGTAAATTTATAACATGTGTATAGGTGATGAACAGGTTTTACAAATGAGAAAAAAGATGTATGACACAGTACTATTGTCGTAGTCATTGTATACCTGTTAAAGTTGACATTAGATAAGACATTTAACTTTTCTAATATCTGTCACTGTTTTTAATAGATAATTTATAATGTTTTTTTTAGCCGTTACGTGTATGTACATGTATTAGACGAAAAATAAGGTGACTTGTAGGAAAATGGTGAACTTGAATAAATATTTTAATTGTAATGTAAATGAACTGTACAAATAATCTGTAGTATTATAAATTTGCATTACAAAAACCATTTATTTTTAAATCAACATCAGTTTTTCCAGTATTAAATAAATATAATATTTTTGTTCAAGTATTTACTTAATTGTAAACATTTTTGTTATGATTTTTCACGAATCTACTGTCTAGTTTTGAATGCAATTTCGACTTAGAAGAATGGACATGAAATTTAGCTATTTCTTTTTTAAAGAAAAAATTTAGTTTGTTAAAAATAATAATATGTGAATGGATAAAATGACTACTAAAAACTTCATATTAATAAAAACTACTTTAAGAGGTCGGTGGTTATGAAATAAAACTCGTGTCATTATAGGGCAATCCATCTCATGTATTAACAGTTTCACAACTTTAAAATTAAAATACATTTGTATTAAAGCGACTTACCAAATTATACGTCTTTACTGATCAATGTTTAATCCACAACTGTCAACTGTTGGACGTTACTTCTAGTTTTTATGTCGACTATTTTGGCGGGTAAATAATTATTCCGGAAATGACAAATCACCATTTTGCAGTTAAATCAAATCAGCAACGGTTACACTTGACAACACTTATGTTATGATACAAATATAATAAAATATTGGTATACTAAATGTAAAGATGCTAACACTACTGTCAAATAGTATGCAGTATGTAGTATTGTTTCAGATATAATTAGTCTAGTCAAATACTTGGAATATAATTTAAATATAAGGTACATTCAGGCTTTGTGTACTATGTCGATTATTATTATTATTAGTAATACTTTATCAGAATTGACGAAACTCTGACTAGGTGTAATACTACTGACGAATACTTGAACGACAAGCAGAATTTATCTTGTAATTTATAAATAAATAACTAATTATGAATTGATAATGATTTAAGACATACCTAAAACTGACATTGCTGCAATTTTATTATTAAACTATTTATTAATTAATTTTACAATATGAATATAAATAATTATAAACTACAGAATATGTTAAATAACTATATAATATTAATAACAGTTACGATATGAATAGATACACACCGATATTTAAATAATGAATAATAAAAAGAAAATACGTACGTATCGTGATACAATTTCAATGACTGGATAATATTGTAACAGATCCTTAGACTATTTCTAAAGTGAAAAAAGTGTTGTCCTCCTCTCTCCTACTTGCTGTGCCCAACAGGGTCCATAATTGAAATGTTATCTACTAATTATATTATGGAATGCAATAAGAAATAAATAAAAAAGAAGACATGCAAGCCAATGTTTTGTCTGAAGAAGATGCACAAGATCGGACAAAGTCGAATAGAAACAGCAAGGCAATTGTCCATGGCTATAGACGGCTTTAAAGTTATAAGTATTATTTGGGTTCATATTTTTTTTAAATTTCAGGTATAATAGCTACTTCGCACATATGGGGCTATTTAGCTGACACGCGTGGCAGAAAAAAGGTGTTGTGTTTCTCCATGTTCCTTGGCTTCGTCACGGGAGCGATGGCAGCACTGTCGCCCAATTGGATTGTGTTCAGTGTTTTGAAATTATGTGCTTCTAGTGCGTGAGTGTTAGTTTTCACAACTCTATCCTTTTCTTCACCTATCACTTTGTTAAGAAAGTTTTTTTTATACAACTTAGAATGGCAAACAAGCTGACGGCCCACCTGATGGTAAGTAACCGTCACCTATAGACATGAGCAGTACCATGGACATAACAGAGTATTTCGCCCGTGATACCCCCCATGCGTTGCCATTCCTGAGGACTCAGGTATTATTCCTCTGTACCCAGTAAATTCACGCCAATGTATGCTTAGATCTTTAAAACTATGCTTCGATCTTTAAATGGATTATGATGCTGTTTTTTTTTAATAGATCAATCTAGCCAAGAGATTACAGCATAGGGTTTTTCAAAAGGGGGGTAAAGAGCTTTCTTTAGGGTTGGTAACGCGCGCGTAATACCCCTGGTATTGCAGGCGTTCATAGGCTACGGTGACCGCTTACCATCAGATGGGCCGTATGCTAGTTTGCCACCTCAGTGGTATAAAAAAATATATATATGAATCATCCTTAGTATTAATATTAATTTCAGTGTATCCGGCAGCTTTGCGTTGTCCATTGCGCTGTTGAGCGAATGTACTCCGGTGGCAAAGAGAAGCACCCTGATCATGCTAACTACTACAGTTTTTATGTCGTGCACAGGAATTATGGCCGGTAAGAAAAATAGTAAATTTATTTTGTAAACGCCTATAAAAAGGAAATTTCAATTCACCTGTATTCTATATATTTTTTGTGTGTATATTTTTTCTTTTTTTTTATACAACTTAGAATGGCAAACAAGCTGACGTCCCACCTGATGGAAAGTGGTAACCGTCGCCTATAGACATGAGCTGTACCGTGGACATAACAGAGTATACTGTTTCGCCCATGATACCCCCCATGCGTTGCCATTCCTGAGGACTCAGGTATTATTCCTCTGTACCCTGTAAATTCACGCCCTTCAAACCGAAACACAGCCATGCAAACACAACTGCTTCACGGTTGAAACACGAATTGGACAGAGGTACTCAAGCAATCGACTTTTGTACAAAGTCTCCCTCTGGTAAAAACCTGTATTAAGATATCTATGTTTAAAACACTTTCTTTAAAAGATATTAAATAATTTGATTTCATTCTGTATTTATTTTTTATTTTACTGAACTAGGTGTTATCTTGCAGAAGTACGTATCACTGGTTACGTGATTAGAATTATTTTGTTTAATTCCGCTAACATTCGCATGTGTGTAATCACACACAGTGTTGACACTCAGCAATATTCGAAAATTTACTACTTCACTTTGTAAACAAAATAGTAGTCGAAGATTGATGGCTAATGTGGAAGGTTGTGGAACTGCCAGAGTAATAGTGGTGGTCAATCTTGGAGTGTTAGTAATCACTCTCGTACTAATGTTAGCGGAATTAAACAAAATAATTCTGAACAAATAACTAGTTTTATTTTTTGTTGCAGTGTTAGCGATTCCTGTTTTGCCGCTACCTTTCTCGTACTACATACCAGTCTTTGGTATCCAGTTCAACTCGTGGCGTCTCCTTAGTTTGATTTATACCATTCCATGTGCTCTCAGTTCCTTCGGGCTGTTGTTTGCCTACGAAAGCCCTAAATACTTGCTCAGTATCGGTGATCAGGTCAATGCACTGAAGACGTTGAGGGAAATATTCGTCATAAACAATGGTAAAGATGGAGACTCGTATCCGGTTAGTTATTCTTATATTGTTTCAAGTATGTGGTTGTGTTCTATTTATAAAATTATTTCATTTTTTTTTTAATGATAAAAACTTTTTATAACTGTTCACGGATGCGCAAATTAATGTATAAATTATATTTTTTCTTTACCTACATTTTTTTTATACAACTTAGAATGGCAAACAAGCTGACGGCCCACCTGATGGAAAGTGGTAACCGTCGTCATTAGACATGAGCAGTACCATGGACTATGCAGTAACGCATGGGGGGTATCATGGGCGAAACAGTATACTCTGTTATGTCCGTGGTACTGCTCATGTCTATAGGCGACGGTTACCAGTTTCCATCAGGTGGGCCGTCAGCTTGTTTGCCATTCTAAGTTGTATAAAAAAAAAGGTAGCAAACAAGCATACGCCCATTTGATAGTAAACGGTCACTGTAGCCTGTGGACTAATGTAAATAAGTACTGAAATTTTCAGGTGAATTCCGTTATTCTGGACGAAGATAATTTGGGGGGAAATATCAAAGGTTTTTGGGCTTCGATAAAGGCACAGACGGTTCCACTGATGAAACCACCTTTGCTGTACAATACTTTACTTTTGGCTGCCATATTCCTGACAGTTTATTTCAGGTGAGTAGAAAAGTTACATAAATATCAATACGAAATTAAGTGTGTTTGTAAAAGTGAAGAAGTTTTTAAAGATTATAAAATATTATTAATTTGAAAACTTATGTTTTTTTTTTATTCGATGTCTATATATGTATATATGTATTGGGGAACTGATGAATTCACTGTGTGCGTGTGAGGCGAGACGCTGTGACGCAATGCACCAAACGAAAGAAAATTTCTGGATAAAGTCGAAATTGGAAGCAACAAAAACATAGTGATTTCATTCATTTCTTGTTACATATGTTTATAGAATACTTTTGAAGTTTTATTATTAATCGATCTGTTGGTATTAAATTTGTAAGTACGTTATTTCCAGCCTTAACCCCTTCATTGTTTGGATGCCGTACCTCGTAGATGGCTTCATGAGATCTATAGAAATTGGAGCCGATGGCATGAATTTCTGTGAGATGATAAAATCCGCACAAAATACTACCACGACAACACAGGTTTGTAATTTGTGTAATGCTCTTATACTCTCTGACATCCTAAACGTTGTTTTACTTCGTAACATTACCTACATACAGTTTTCATTTTTTATTTATTAAATTGAAATTTAAGAACCGACAACTGATGGGTAATAAAGGTTCTTGAGCGGCGGCCCCGTACGGGCAAACGCAGTGTAAGACGACCCTCCACAAGATGGAGTGACGACCTGAATTGCATTGCAGGGAGTCAGTGGATGCAGGTGGCTCAAGACTGTTCTTTATGGCAGTCTATGGGGGAGGCTTATGTCCAGCAGTGGACAGATAATGGCTGAAATGATGTGGATGAAATTGAAATTATTTTAAAGCTATTCTATCTGTCAAACAATATAGATTTATTTATAACATTTCATTGAAAATAAAAATATAATTTGACTGATCTATTGATTTTTTTTTTATTTAATTTTTTATTTATTTATTCATTCTGATTCGATACATACAGCACGATTCAAGTATACACATAGATCTCACACAACGTGATGGCTTAACAACTAGAACATATTAAATCTTAAGATCAGACCAGAAAAATAAAGAAAGTACACTAGTTATTCTGTGAAACAAATAAATGACAATCGCCACCCACCAATGTTAGTTTTTTACATCAAAATAGACAGTACAAAAATGAAATGAAATGTATCTACTTTGTAACATCAACGCCAAGTAACGTGAGGGTAGTTTAGGCAACGAAAATGTTTTATGATTATGAACATATTTTATGTTTATCGTACCTACTCATAAAGATTCTATTTTATATAATGCAAAGGTAATAATAATATTTTTTTATTATACGTATGTACGTACATATATTATGTAGGTACACTAATGCCTATTATTTAACCAAAGTATTAGAGACATCATTTTGTTTATTTCTCCGATCCTTTCCCATAGTTTAAATGAAACTTAAATTTAAATTCTTCGACACTAACTAATTTCAAGTTTATATGAATTTAGATTTATACAAAGTGCTGAGGATTTTCTTCTACCCGCCGTATTAGTAGAAATACTGTATCACGGTCAAGTATGAATCCATGTTTGTGACAAGAAATGTAAACAACCAAAGACAATTTCATCCGTAAAAGTTCAAAAGTGAGTTAATGCTTGATTGCAATAAGGTACAATATTGTATACACTGTAAACAAAGCGAGCTGCATTTTTAGAACATAGTAAATGCGCAACTTTAAGATAATTCATTGTTAGAATTGTGTACATAACTTTATACGGATATGTATATATAATCAAATGCGCATGTATACATAATCGTCACAGTATCCTTTTTATGAATTTGGACTATTTAATTGTTTTTAAGTATACATTATTTTATTTATGACTAATAACTTAACAAAACTATAATATATAACTATAACCAAATAACCAAAACAAAACTATAAGAGACAAACAATTAATAAAGATTAAATATAGACATGCATGATTGTGTTCAAGATTTATATGTA